AAATAAAATAGAGATAAAGAAAAAATCAAAGCAATAAATAAAATAAATAAAACACAAATGGGGGAAAATCAGAGAAATAAATGGGAGAAATAAAATACAAATAGAGAAAAAAACAGAGAAATAAATGAAATAAATAAAATATAAATAGAGAAAAAAACCAGAGAAATAAATAAAATAAATAAAAATATAAATAGAGAAAAATCAGAGAAATAAATGTAATAAATAAAAATATGAATAGAGAAAAAAATAAATGAAATGAAATAAATAAAATACAAATAGAAGAAATACCAGAGAAATAAATGAAATAAATAAAATACAAATAGAGAAAAATCAGAGAAATAAATGTAATAAATAAAATATAAATAGAGAAAAAAAACAGAAATAAATGTAATAAATAGAAATATAAATACAGGAAAATCAGAGAAATAAATGAAAGAAATAAAAATATAAATAGAGAAAAAAATACAGAAATAAATGAAATAAATGAAATACAAATAGAGAAAAAAACAGAGAAATAAATGTAATAAATAAAATGTAAATAGGGAAAAAAATAAATGAAATAAATGAAATAAATAAAATACAAATAGAAGAAAAATCAGAGAAATAAATAAAATAAATAAAAATATAAATAGAAGAAAAATCAGAGAAATAAATAAAATAAATAAAATATAAATAGAAGAAAAATCAGAGAAATAAATGAAATAAATAAAATACAAATAGAGAAAAATCAGAGAAATAAATGTAATAAATAAAATACAAATAGAGAAAAATCAGAGAAATAAATGTAATAAATAAAATGTAAATAGGGAAAAAATCAGAGAAATAAATGAAATAAATAAAGATATAAAGAGAAAAAAATAAATGAAATAAATAAAATAAAAATAGAGAAAAAAATCAGAGAAATAAATGAAATAAATAAAATANCAGGAAAAAATCAATGAAAATTAACAATAAATCAGAAAACAACAGGTGAAAATTAACAATAAATCAGAAAAAATCAGGTGAAAATCGACAAAAAAAAATCAACAGAAAAACTACAAAAAATATTAAAAAAATCAGAAAAAAATCAGGTGAAAATTAACAATAAATCAGAAAAGATCAGCTGAAAATTAACAATAAATCAACAGAAAATCTACCAAAAAAATAAAAAAAAAAAATCAGAAAAAAATCAGCTGAAAATCTACAAAAAATCAACAGAAAATTCACAGAAAAGCAGCTGAAAATCTACCAAAAATCAATAGAAAATCTACCAAAAAAAATTAAAAAAAAATCAGAAAAAAAAATCAGGTGAAAATCTACAAAAAAAAATCAACAAAAATCAGCTGAAAATTAACAATAAATCAGAAAAAAAATCAGCTGAAAATCTACAAAAAAAATCACACAAAATTCACAGAAAAGCAGCTGAAAATCTACCAAAAAATCAACAGAAAATCAACAAAAAATTTTAAAAAAAACAGAAAAAAATCAGCTGAAAATTAACAATAAAGCATAAAAAAATTAACAATAAAGCATAAAAAAATCAGCTGAAAATCTACAACAAAAATCAACTCAAAATCAACAAAAAATTCAACAGAAAATCAACAAAATAATCAGAAAAAAATCAACAAAAATCACCAAAAAATCACGAACAAATGAACAAAAATAACCACCAAAAAATCAACAAAAAAACCGAGAAATAAAAATACAAACGGGGGAAAATCAGAGAAATAAATGAAATAAATAAAATATAAATAGAGAAAAAAAAACAGAAATAAATGTAATAAATAGAAATATAAATACAGGAAAATCAAAGAAATAAATGAAATAAATAAAATAGAGATAAAGAAAAAATCAAAGCAATAAATAAAATAAATAAAACACAAATGGGGGAAAATCAGAGAAATAAATGGGAGAAATAAAA